CTCAAAATGCGATTCCTAGGAACATACCAAAGTCAACCTTAATTGTAATGTCATGTAGGCAATGATATCATTCAAGACAACTAAACTTCTCCTTTTTAAAACTAAGGAACAAAAAAAGAGAGTTTTATATGACATTATGAATAGTGACAGTTTTTCCTATTTAAATTTTCTTATTAATAAAAAAAGATGACTAAATTTGACTAATAGTGACGAAGATATATAGGAAAAACCTGTTAAAATGCAGTCTTTTCTAAACAATAGAATGTACTTTAAAAAAATAAATAGCAATATCAAATAAATTGCTCTGGTACACAGATTATTAATTTTGATTGTTCAGATGGGAGTGGAAATAGTATAGTGGCATTAAGAGATAAATTAATGTGTGTGCATGTGTGGTTTTTTTGTAAAAAAACATCTAGATGGCAGCTTCACCATAATCACAATTTATTACCATCTTTGCTAGCTTCCTACAACCACATTCAATGGGAAAGCTGGCAGTGAGGCCACAAATGGCACATGATGTCCTTGCTTAATGACACATGATGATTCAATTAATAAGGCAATCAGAACTGCTGGAATTTTTGTGAATAAGTGGCATAGTCAGATACATGATACTTTACAACCACGTTATTTAATGATGGAATTTCTGGTCTCAATTACCATCATTAAGTGATGACTACCTATATAGGTTCTCATGAGCACAAGGCAAATATGCTTGGTCAAATAAATTTAAATTCCTCCCAGGATTTAATTAGTTATTGATTCCAATTGTAGAACTCAGAGATTGTCAGAGGAGAAAATATAGAATTTTTTAATATTGTTCTAGTTATGTTTATTGTAGCATAACTTGTCATTTACTGTAAATTGTGGTTTCAGTGAACTGTTAGGAAATTAGTTGCCGCTCATCTCCCTCATTGTTTGGATATATTTCTTGGTTTGGGCTTAAGGAAAAAAATGCTTCACCCCCAGTTACTGTTGTACTGTTATTGTTGAGTGTATCCCATTAGGACTGCAGAGACAGAAAATATGCTGGGAAAGAGGAGCACAAACAAACAAGCAAATAAATAGATGTTTTCACCTTGTATATATTGTACACACTATATACAAATCATACACCTATTTCTGAATTTATATACTTGGATACAGGTCTACACTGAAGACTAAACATGCATCATGACAAGGATATGGTAAATGAAACTCATATCTACATGTTACAGTTCTTGTCATGTCGCGAGCATGGTGGCGCAGTGGTTAGAGTGCAGTACTGCAGGCTACTTCTGCTGACTGCCGGCTGCCTGCAATTTGGCATTTCAAATCTCACCATGCTCAAGGTAGACTCAGCCTTCCATCCTTCTAAGAGTTCAGTAAAATAAGGACCCAGATTGTTGGGGGCAATATACTGACTCTGTAAACTGCTTAGAAGGGCTGTAAAGCATGGTGAAGCAGTATATAAATCTAAGTACTATTGCTATAGTGCATTCCTAAAACACATATTTCCAGATCTAATTGCCAACACTTTAATTAGCATATATTTCATGAAAAATATCAAGCACTGAGACTACTGATATGAAGTAACACAGACCGTTACATATTTCGTTTCAAATATGCAACGAAACCCCAGGCAAAATTAGCTCAGTGCATGTGATTTAGCATAAAAAAAAAATCTGTTACATTATTTGGAGATTTCATTTAGGAAAGCTGTATAAAACACACTAAAAGCTCCTTATTTTTTTGTGCAGGTGGATAAAGGCCACTGTAGCTGAAAGGAACTATTACATACCAGATGGGCTTGGAATGGGACAACTCATGATGGCCAACTTGCCACGGGACAATTCAACAGTTCAATTTAATTATTTAAAATAATTAAAACATGTATTTTACATGTCCACATTTCACATTTGCCATTCACATTTCACTTTGTCCCTTCTTTAGCATCCTTTCTTTAATTATACCATTCCCCCATTTCTTCAATATTAGTGTAACTCTTGTTAGTTGTCCTGTGGCGAGTTGGCTGTAGCAAGTTGGCCTAGTTCTGTAGCATTTGTTTTATGGAATGGAAAAAGTAACTTTTTTTTTTAAACTGTGGATCTTGAATGTTTGCTTCAAAGTTTATTTTTCAATATATTAGTAAGATGTCAAGGTTCTCCAAGATTCTTCCTTGTTTTTGCTTTACCAAAGCCAACCCTACTGGCATATAAATTAATAGCTCAGTCAGAGTAACTTTTGTGCTTCTGAAATGTAAATTTGAGACTAATGAATTAATGGTCTTATTTAGAGGATTTAATTTCCTCCCCAGCCAACACAGACTTTTCCATTATAAGGTGCCAAATAAATGGTGATTCATTAAGGCAGCTAGCCGACAATGGCACCTTCGTTTACAGAACACTCAGAGACAGAAATATAACTTGGCAAAATCTCCCTCCCATAAAATGGGCCATAATTAGCATGGTTGAACAGAGTTCACACATGCTCTCAAAAATCTCAGAATGTTTGAATTCCAATTTGGCATCACAACCTAAATATTTAAATCTGCTTTCCTTGTTTATTCAAGATTCCAGTCAGCATCCTCCAGCAAGCCCAGAAAAAAAAAAAAGAAGAAGAAGTACTTCTGATTTGTTTCTGTGCCAAGTCAGAACATTAGTTGTAACTGATTGAAGAAATGAAGATTGCATGAAGGATATGCAATAAGATGGCTTTTGAGAATGGCCAAGTGTTTATTCCAGATGATCACTATAAATGTCCTATTTTATTTCTTTTTATAGATATTGCTAGTAGCTAGAGTACAAGAGTGCACTAGGCTTCAGATATCCTCCAAATGAAGACGTTCAAAAGAAAGCTGGAAAAAAAATACAATTACAAAAGGAACTCAGTTAACAGAAATAGGACACAGGTAGATATTTATTTGAGATCTCTATTTATTTGAAATACCTTTTTAGCCCTTCCTTTAAATAACAAGAGATACAGTGTTAATATTCTTACAGGTTTATTATTTTATTACACTTGTTTACTTACAGCTTATTTTTAATGATTTTTTTTTTGCTTTTTTATGATTTTCTTTTTAAAAAAGAAATCCAATTAACATTTGAATATGGAGAGATCAGGAATTCTAATCCTGCATTGGGCACAAAGCTAACCAAGTGACTTTGGGTAGTCACTTTTTTCTAATGCGAAGGAGGAGGGCAGTGGCAAACTACTACCAAAATCTTGTCAAGAAAACTGAAGGACTAGTTCTGGCCGTCACCAGTCAAGACCACCAAAAAGAGAAGAGAGGAGAGGAGAGGAGGGGAGGGGAGGGGAGGGGAGAGGAGAGGAGAGGAGAGGAGAGGAGAGGAGAGGAGAGGGGAGGGGAGGGGAGCGGAGGGGAGGGGAGGGGAGGGGAGAGGAGAGGAGAGGAGAGGGGAGCGGAGGGAGGGGAGGGGAGGGGAGGGGAGAGGAGAGGAGAGGAGAGGAGAGGAGAGGAGAGGAGAGAAGAGAAGAGAAGAGAAGAGAAGAGAAGAGAAGAGAAGAGAAGAGAAGAGAAGAGATATTTATATTTTTTAAAAAATGTTACACTATAAATAGCAATAACCTGTTGGAAAATGTCTTCAAATATCAATATAATGGAACACAGAGAAAGTTGCAAGTCCAGGTTTCTGGACTTCAGTTCCCAGAATTCTCCCCAATGGCCATAGTGGCTGGGAAATTCTGGGATTTGAAGTTTCCATTGTTGGAAGTGACCATGACTGGAAACAATACTTTCTTAAAAATGGAAAATTGCCTGAGGCTACCAGCCTGTGTAGACCAGTGGACAGTACAAGACTAAATAATCTGAACTCCTATCAGGCAATTTATTATGTTTCTACAGGTATTCTTACAAATGTGTTCTTTGCTTCTTCTCCCCTATAAGCTTTGTGAGAAATGTTGGACAATCTATCCCCTACTCTATTAAGTTCCAAATAATAAGTTTTCTATCATCTCCAACAAACAATATAATTTGGTATAGATTATTGCTTTTTTCTATTAATATAGTTCAGCAGGAACTTTTTTTATATAGCAATTGAATACGGTTCACATATTCTTATCTTGCAACTGCTTCTATTGAGATCTTTTTTCATTGTGTTTTAGAAGAGAAATGATGGGTGGATTCAACAACCCTGATGGCATCACTTTTTCCACTTCTCATTGGTATTACAAAGAAGAATTTCCCCCCTCTTATTTCTTATTGCAATTCTCTGTTGCTCTAAATCAAAGGAGAAAATTGTTGTCTTATTAGGGTTATTAGAACCGCAGTGGCGCAATGATTAGAATGCAGTACTGCAGATTACTTCTGCTGACAGTTCGATTCTCACCGGCTCAAGGTTGACTCAACCTTCCATCCTTCCGAGGTCGGTAAAATGAGGACCCAGATTGTTGGGGAAAATATGCTGACTCTGTAAACTGCTTAGAGAGAGCTAAAATGAAGTGCTATGGTTCCTTTCTTAAAGTTCCTAATTTCAGAAGTGAGTTTTCCTTTTCTGTTTTCTCTAAGAAATATTATGTTGAGGATCTGATACCCAATTATTTAATATCATATTGATAGCGTGTATAGTATATAATAGCATGTTGATTTTATCATGGAATTTATAGCTATCCATAAGCATTTCAGGGTTTAAATGTTTATGAGTCACTTATCATGACTGCATGACTGTAACCTTGTTGTTTGTATCTTTACAATTTATATTGACTGTTTCCTAATATGACTTGATTGCTTATTTGTACTCTATGACTATCGTTAAGTGTTGTACCTTATGATTCTTGACGAACGTATCATTTCTTTTATGTACACAGAGCAGATGCACAAAGACAAATTCCTTGTGTGTCCAATCACACTTGGCCAATAAAGAATTCTATTCCATTCTATTCTTATCATTTTCAGCCATTATTTTTGGAACTGTCCTGAAAACTTATATAATGCCAGTTAAATTTGAATTGTCATATCAAACCTACTGCATATTAGAAATACCATACAAGGAAATACTCACCTTTTTAACTTCAGTTGCTAGTTGCTGAACAGAAGGAGATGCTATGGAGTATAAAATGCCATTGCCTCTTATTGGATCATGGAGATTCACATATGCCACAGCATTCCTCTGGAGAACTTTCCTAAGGTCCTAAAACGCAAACATGATTAATAACCAGATCCTAATTAAGGACCTGCATTCTTGTTGTAGTCCTTTGAAATGTAGGAAAAGGGGAACACAAGCCATGTTTTTTTCCACCTACTTCAATTCCCCACGTAACATTTAATTCAATTTTTATAGAATATCATTTTAGGAACTTGAAAGGAAGTCTTTATTTAATTTCTCTCTTGTGGGGTTATAATTCTATTTCTCAAATGAACAAAATGAAAAATGAGGCCAGAAGAATTTAAGAACGACTACAGTTCTAAGCAGCAAATCAAAACATTACATTCTCTGAAATAATAGGAAGTCTGTTTTGTTTTTTTGGAAAAAAATAAATGCTCCTGTTCCACATCAAACTTCAAATATAAGAATTAGCAAACAAAGTGCTTGATATTTCCAACCAGGCTCCAATACTGCAGATGTGAATGGCATCGTTTCTCCAAGGTTGTTATTTTGTTATCTTTTTAAAAGCAAAGGCATATTTCAATTATTTCCCATTGCCTACCTAGTAATGAAGTATTTGTTCCATGAAGAGGTTCTTTGCGTTGAGCAAAAAGGAGTATAACACAATTACGTTTGATACAAGGATGATTTGAAGTGGAACTAAGGAAATTTTGCTCTCAGGCAGTTGTAAGAATCCTTTTGATACCTGGTTGCAACCAGTTCCCTCTTTCCATATTTTTCACAGCTTATTGTAAGCCCATAATTCAGTTAGAAGAATAAGGTTTTGGTAATGCTTTCACACTCAGGCCCAAGAATATCTGCACACTTTCTAGGTAACTTCAAATTCAGAGCCGTCCAGCTTTATTGTAGCTGGCAGGTCTTTAAAATACTGCCATTAGAATGTGCAAACTAAGCAGAAAGTGTGTCTTTTGTGATGTTATTAATTTATAAAGTATCTACTTAGAAAAAGCAATCCCTGCCAATAGGGCAAAAGGGAAAGAAAAGTGTTCGGTTTATAGTTGTAAATTTTCTTTAAATCCCAATGAAAATATGCACCTACTGTGTTTCCTAAGATATTCCTTTGTCATTGTCAGACCAGGCCTTGGTTTCTATCGTACTGCCTGGAGACTGGATCCATTATATTGATATTCCCCTGGTGAATGATGGATCCAGAGAGGTTTCCGAATGAGATGGGATTGTCCGTGTTGGTCTGAATTATGGTCTAGTTCATAGCCTTAGTTGCCACCTGGAACAAGGTGGCAAATGAAGCCTTTGGACTGGATTGCACTTATCTGACCTCTCTTGTTGTGTGGATCCCATCATTCCCTGTGGCTTATAATGGATTGAGGAAGAAAAAAGTAAGGTTCTACATTTAGGTAAGAAAAATAAAATGCACAGGTACAGTATACATGGTACCTTGCTCAATAGTAGTAACTGTGAGAGGGATCTTGGAGTCCTAGTGGACAATCATTTAAATATGACCCAGCAGTGTGCAGCAGCTGCCAAAAAAACCAACACAGTTCTAGGCTGCATAAACAGAGGAATAGAATCAAGATCACATGAAGTGTTAATACCACTTTATAATGCCTTGGTAAGGAAGGTCACACTTGGAATACTGAACTCCCTTTTGGTCGCCACGATGTAAAAAAGATGTGCAGACTCTAGAAAGGATGCAGAGAAGAGCAACAAAGATGATTAGGGGACTGGTGGCTAAAACATATGAAAAACGGTTGCAGGAACTGGGTATGTCTAGTTTAATGAAAAAAAGGATTAGGGGAGACATGATAGAAGTGTTCCAATATCTCAGGGGCTGCCACAAAGAAAAGGGAGTCAAGCTATTCTCCAAAGCACCTGAGGGCAGGACAAGAAGCAATGGGTGGAAACTAATCAAGGAGAGAAGCAACTTAGAACTAAGGAGAAATTTCCTGACAGTTAGAACAATTAATTAGTGGAACAACTTCCTTCCAGAAGTTGTGAATTCTCCAACACTGTAAGATGTTGGACAACCATTTGTCTGAAGTTGTGTAGGGTTTCCTGCCTAAGCAGGGGTTTGGACTAGAAGACCTCCAAGATCCCTTCCAACTCTGTTATTCTATAAGATGGAATGAGAAGAGAGACATCTAGACCATTACTGCCGTTCAACAAAAGGCAAACTTGACTAGACATCGGTTAGAATTGCTATTAAGGCCTATCTTGGGGTGGAAAGGGTATTGAACTGTTAGTATACCTCTCCACCATTTTTGCATCTGCAGCTTGCCACTCCAGAGTCTTGTTTCAGGTGACAAGTGCTAATTTGAGGAAAAAGGCATGGATAACCTCTTACAGGGGTGTGTGGAGGAATTTGCACAGAATCTGTTGGAAGATATTCCTCAAATTCATTCCCAATTGAATGTTGTCACAAGTCCAGAGGAGATGCTTGGCAAGAAGTCTCATATGGTATCTGGGAATGTTTTGAACCCCTTGGACCTGGATAGGTTCCTCAGTACTGTCATCTTAGCTACCTGCTCTTTTGATCCATGCCCCTGCTGGCTTGTCAAAGAGGACTAGTGTTGTTGTGTGAATGACATCTGGTGATGGTTAATTCTTTTAGTGAAGTGGGTGTTCCTTTACCTCTGAACAAAGATGGTTTACCCTCATTGAAGAAATGATCATTGAAACCTACCATACGGGACCATTTTTTATCCAGTATCTCATCTCCCTTGGGGAAAGTGATGGAGAAAGTGGTTTCAAAGCAGCTTTGGGAAAACTTGGAAGAGGCAGATTATCTGTGTCCTTTTCAGTCAAGATTCTGGTACCTTCCCACCAAAGTGATACCTATTTATCTACTTGCATTTTCATGCCTTCGAGCTGCTAGATAGGCAGGAGTTGGGGCAAGTAACTTTGCATGGTATTCATGTCTCAAACCCAGACTATCATCTTTCCAACTGACAAGCTCAGCATCTTTAACCAGTGAGCCATCATGCCCCCTTTATACTTTGAAACCAGAGGTGGGTTTCAGCAGGTTCTGACCAGTGCTGGAGAACCGGTAGCGGAAATTTTGAGTAGTTCGGAGAACCAGTAGTAAAAATTCTGACTGGCCCCGCCCCCATCTATTCTCTGCTTCCCGAGTCAGGAAATGGGGATTTTATTTATTTATTTATTTGTTTTAATTTGTATACCACCCTTCTCCAGCAGGACTCAGGGCGGTGAACAGCCAGAATAAAACAGAACATACAAAATTTAAAAACAGTTTAAAAATAATTAAATATTTTGGCCGCAATTTAAAACAACCCAATTAAAATCAATTAAATTTAACCAAAAACAGTGGGATCAAGCCAGCCCGGCTAGGTGAAATAAATAAGTTTTCAGGGCCCGACGAAAAGTCCGGAGGTCTGGTATTGTACATATCTCTGGGGGGAGTTTGTTCCAGAGGGCAGGCGCCGCCACAGAGAAGGCTTATTTTGGTTATTTTGCAGTAACCTTTCCCTGGAGTGGGGAGGGAATGGAGATTTTACAGTATCCTTCTCCTGCCACATCCACCAAGCCACACCCACAGAACCGGTAGTAAAAAAATTTGAAACCCACCACTGTTTGAAACCCTTATTTACTCATTGTTTACTTACATCAGCAGCTCAGAACCCTTTAGAAGAGTTCCTGGTTTTGCATACCATTTGCCTAATATTAGTTTATGCCATGGAGAAAAGTTTCATCTAAAGTTCTCCTGTTTTGTGGAATTAGCTGTCCTCTGAGATACACTAGACAGACAATGCTGATGTCTTTTGGGCATCTTTTAAAGATCTATCTTTTTATTTCCCTCTGCAACCACTTTGTTTTGCTTTTTTTAATGGAATGCTTTTAATTCTTTATATATATATATATTCTTTTTAAGGTCTTTTTAGTCTGCTTTTATCTTCCTTTTATCTTTATTATTTTGATAAAGAGCTTTGGGGGTTTTTAAAAATAGGAAACAGAACATTATTTTGAATTTCAAAACTAGTGCATGGAATAAAAACAGTGTGGCTAAAATACCAGGTTAGTCTGTGGAAAGATAAAATATATAGATGATTGATTGATTGATTGATCAATTGGCTGATTTCTGCAAAAACTCTAGCAATTGTGATTCTTTTATCAGAGTGTATTATGAATGTTCCATCATAACAGCAAGAGAGTCTTAACGATGAGTCTCTGTTTGTATCTTCTTTCAGTGTGTAAACTCTACCAAGGCTTACTCAGAATGTACCCAAATCTATTTATAGATACTGAGAATGTACCTGAATCAATTAAGGTATTTTTATGTTCTTACATAAACCAAATGACCACACTGTTGCTTTAAAGAGGCCGAGTATAATACTGTTTGGTGTATAGTATATATTGTTACATAGATATCAAAATTAGTAGCTTTAAGGCTAAGAATGATTGTCACCCTTGGTTCATTACTTGATTAAGCTAGCTGAGAGTTATGCATTGGAAATTGTGATCCGAAAGACATAAAATCCATACATTGTGGAATCTTCTGTCTCCTGAGGTGAAGTTGTCATCACATCAATTCTGAACTTCTGATGGTTTCCTTAACATCTAGTTCCTAGTCTACAAAGGCTAGGAACCCAAGGTGATGAGAGAAATTGTACAGTGACTCCATAATTATTAATATTTATTATTAATTAGTATCTGTTATTCCCTTATTTGTACTTTTTAAATAATTTTTAATATTTTTAATTAATGATAACAAATAATTTTATGAATTTGTTCATTGTTTTTGTTTTGTCGTACAGCACCCAGAGTCACTTTTGGTGAAATGAGTGGCTATACAAATTCAATAAATAAATAAATATTGACTCAAAGCTGCCAGACTGAACCAATGAATGTCCATTAAAAATGAATTGCTTGGCTTCTTTAGAATAGAGATGAAACATATACTTTTATTCTGCTTATAGTATTCAAATCCAACAGGCTGGCATATATATATATATATCTGACTTGAATTTTAATATTGTCCATCTTCTTTTTCTCTCCTGGAAGTTTTATTGTTTGATCTGACCAAAAGGCATGTACCAATTAGCCACCTACTGTACCTTGATTATCTTTATGGCTTATTTATCCAGTTCCCTCTAGTCACTGATTGACTGACAGACAGTGTTATTAACCATTCTTGTGCTCTCAGTGGATTCTACAATGCATCTAGAAAATTATTTCCTTTTGCTAAGTTCAACATTCAATTGACACAACTTATTGTCTGTTTGCTGTTAAAGAACATTTGAATTCGTTAAAATTAGAGGAGAAGGCTCTAAAAATACTGATTAGTTGCCTGAATTGATGTAAAATAATAGTTCTAAACGATCAGTTTTCATCTACGTGTGTTTTAATATCTTTACTCTATCTTTCTTCTGCACTTTCTGAACTTCTATTCTTTTTTTTTCCTCTATTTTACTTTGCATTAATTTTTTACTATGTTTATTAAAAATGTCAATAGCATTATTAAGTTAAAAAAAAAGAACAAAATCTTTCCATTGTCTGGTTGTTTTGAAGAGCATCAGCGCCTTTTGCAAAAATGAGGAAATCCACATTTTGTGGGATTTCAAAATTCAAGCTAATAAACACTTAAAACACAACACACCAGATATTACTATTATAAAAAAAGAGAAGGGAAGGTTCATTGATATGAAGAGACAGTTGAATTGATGAAAAACAACCATGCTTTGCAAATTGCGGTCAAAAGATTCTGGAAGAAAAACAAATGATTGTCATGAAGATGAAAACTGAAACTCTTGGTGCCATACCAAAAAGCACTTAACACTTAGACTTATATACTACTTCATAGTGTTTTACAACCCTCTCTAAGCAGTTTACAGAGTCAGCACATTGCTCCCAACAATCTGGGTCCTCATTTTACCAACCTCGGAAGGATGGAAGGCTGAGTCAACCTTAAGCGAGGAGGAGGATCAAACTTCTGGCACTGAGCTGAATTAGCCTGCAATACTGCATTCTAACCACTATACCACCACAGCTCAAACAAATACAGTATTTAGAAAGTTTACATTTACTGTAGTTTACACCATTAATTTGGCAAGAAAAACAAAATGCACAGGTGCAGTATATGTGGTACCTTTCTCAATAGTAGTAACTGTGAGAGGGATCTTGGAGTCCTAGTGGACAACCATTTAAATATCAACCAGTAATGTGCACAGCTGCCAAAAAAGCCAACACAGTTCTAGGCTGCATATACAGAGGGATAGAATCTAGATCACGTGAAGTGTTAACACCACTTTATAATGCCTTGGTAAGGCCACACTTGAAATACTGCATCCAGTTTTGGTCACCACAATGTAAAAAAGATGTTGAGACACTAGAAAGTGCAGAGAAGAGCAACAAAGATGATTAGGGAACTGGAGTCTAAAACATATGAAGAACGGTTGCAGGAACTGGGTATGTCCAGTTTGATGAAAAGAAGGAGTAGGGGAGACATGATAGCAATGTTCCAATATCTCAGGGGTCGCCACAAAGAAGAGGAAGTCAAATTATTCTCCAAAGCACCGGAGGGCAGGACAAGAAAGAATGGGTGGAAGCTAATCAAGGAGAGAAGCAACTTATTTATTTATTTATTTTATTTTATATTGGATTTCTATACCGCCCTTCTCCCTAAGGACTCAGGGCGGTGTACAGCCAGATTAAAAAAACATGCAGAACAAATATTAAAAACAATTAAAAGATATATAAATTTGGCCCAATTAAAACTCATTTACCAATTAAAAACGTTTAAAACATTTAAAAACAGTTAAAAATTTCATCTTAAGCCAGCCCGGCTTGTTTAAATAAATGGGTTTTAAGGGCGCGACGGAAGGCACTGAGGTCTTGGATTCTCCTTATCTCTGGGGGGAGCTGATTCCAGAGGGTGGGTGCCCCCACAGAGAAGGCCCTCCCCCTGGGGGTCACCAGCCTGCATTGTTTGGCTGATGGCACCCCGAGGAGGCCCTCTCTGTGGGAGCGCACGGGTCGCTGGGAGGTCGTCGGTAGCAGCAGGCGGTCTCGCAGATAGCTAGGCCCTATGCCATGGAGCGCTTTAAAGGTGATAACCAACACCTTGAAGCGCACCCGGAAGACAACTGGGAGCCAGTGCAGCTCGCGCAGGAGCGGTGTTACATGGGAGCGCCATGCTGCTCCCATCACTACCCGCGCTGCTGCGTTCTGGACCAGCTGGAGCCTCCGGGTGCTCCTCAAGGGGAGCCCCATGTAGAGAGCGTTGCAGTAGTCAAGGCGAGAGGTGACGAGGGCATGAGTGACTGTGCACAGGGAATCCCGATCAAGAAAGGGCCGCAACTGGCGAATCAGGCGAACCTGACAAAAGGTCCCCCTGGTTACAGCCGTCAGATGTTCCTCCAAGGACAGCTGCATATCCAGGAGGACTCCCAGATTGCGAGCCCTCTCTGTGGGGGCCAATGACTCGCCCCCAATAGTCAGTGATGGAGTCAACTGACTATATCGGGATGCCGGGAGCCACAGCCACTCAGTCTTGGAAGGGTTGAGCTTGAGCCTGTTCCTCCCCATCCAGACCCGTACAGCCTCCAGGCACTGGGACATCACTTCAAGGGCATCGTTGGGGTGGCCTGGGGTGGAGATGTACAGCTGGGTGTCATCAGCGTACTGGTGGTATCTCACCCCAAAGCCACGGATGATCTCACCCAGCGGCTTCACATAAATGTTGAACAGAAGGGGCGAGAGGACCGATCCCTGCGGCACTCCACAAATGAGAGGCCTCGAGGTCGACCTCTGCCCCCCTGCCAACACAAACTGCGACCGGTCGGAGAGAAAGGAGGAGAACCACCGCAACACGGTGCCTCCCACCCCCCAACTCTTCCAGCCGGTGCAGCATGATACCATGATACCATGATACCAACTTAGAACTAAGGAGAAATTTCCTGACAGTTAGAACAATTAATCAGTGGAACAACTTGCCTCCAGAAGTTGTGAATGCTCCAACACTGGAAGTTTTTAAGAAGATGTTGGATAACCATTTGTCTGAAGTGGTGTAGGGTTTGGATTAGAAGACCTCCAAGGTCCCTTCCAACTCTGTTATTCTATTCTAATCTAATTTAGCAAAAGATGACCCTACTTATAACAGCTTGCATTTTTCAGTGACACCAACATGACTCTAGGAATCATCTGGAATCATCACCCAATTAATTAGATAGATATACTGATTTAGATGATAATCATAATGGCAATTGATAAAAGCTGTACAACTAGGGAATTTTCTGATATCACAGTCCTCTCTTTTTCTTCACAGATACCACTCATTCATCTTTCTGGGTACAAACACCGAACACAAAAAACAAGTTATGTTGAAGTTTAAGCTTAGTTTTCACTCATCTGAATGTTTAAAAAATGTCTCTAAGAAGGAAGAAAAGAACACACTCAGAGAATAAAATTTAGCAACAGGAGACCAGGAAGATCCATAGGACAAGGGCTATATCAAATAATAATTCTTATCCTTGATATTGGCAACTCTAGATTCCCCTGTATGAAGTGTTGGAAGAAATGTCCATCTGGGTTCAGTTCCAAGTGGGGAGACACTGGAAACATGGTGGCTGATTGGAAAGAAGGTTTATTGATGAACAGGATCACATAGCTTGAGGTCCTGGGCAAAAAAGGGCAGAGATGCTGAGTGTGCCTAGGTTTTATGCTTTTGAATTTGAGCTTGTGTTCTGATTGGTTGTCAGACTAACTTTGTAGGTTGTCTATGTCCCAGGCTTGGTTGAGCTTTGCTGGGTGATGATGTAATGAAGGGGCTTTGGGCAATTCCTACTATGGCTCTGCCTGAAGGAGGTAGATCTTTGTTATGTAGAATAGACTGGCCCAGGCCTTAATGGTCCATTGACAAATTGCCTCCCTTTTAGGGGAAATATTCTCCCCTTTTAATATTTCCTAAAATATCTCATTTTCCTAGGAGAAGGGTGGAAGCTAACTTCCTACAGAAGAAAGAAACCTGTAAGCATTCTTACCTCTGCCCATTCGTAGGAACCAATCTTCCCAAACATGGTTCCACCCCATGAACAGAAAATGATGGTCCGCTCAGGCCTCCAACCTTTCTTCACCTTCCTCATCAAGGCTTGGATAAGTGCAGTCATTACTGCTGTGCCATGAGCCCACTGCTCGCTGTTGTAGCCAGGCAAACTGCTGTGGTGGCTGCCAACTATGACGTATCTATCTGAAAGACATACAGCAAGCAGAAGCTTTTACTAATTAATCAAAACAACCAACAGTCCTTCCACACACCGATCGTATTAGTTTCCTTCCCCGTTCTTGCCAGCTGTGTCACAGCTGTTGTTTGCCATAATAATCAGCTGGGTTCAAGAATCACTTTTATTTGAAAGACCTCAACGTTATTTGCTTGCGATCTCAAGCTAACAACATCATTTACGATGCAGAATATTTTACGGTGAATCATCCAATGAACCTATCTGAAAAGGCATAAGACTGAGTAGTTATAGCAACCAACTAAAATGGATCTAAACTAACTTAAGGGGTTAGAGATGTCTTGCTTCGTTTTTAGTAATTACTATATTTTTGGAAGTAACTCAAATAGCTCACTATATTTTAAAAGCAGAAAGCCTCCTGCTTTCTGTTTGCTAAAGATCTGTAGTAAAAGGTATCTTCTTTCAGGCAAATGTGACTCCTACCAGAAGTTTTACTCAGATATGAAAGAGTTAAACTCGATCACAGTAAACCAAAGTACGCCATGTGGAATGTGCTAAGATGTATATTGTTTGTACCAGTATTTTTCAACCTTAGTATCTTTAATGTGTGGATTTCAACTTCCATAATTATCTTTCAGACAGGTGTAAGTGCTCAGTCTGGGTAACTATATAGAACAAAATAAAAATAATAGGCTGTTATATATAGTTTGAAAGTTAAGAGCAATCCACAGTCCAGAATAAGTTGTGAAATTCTGTTCTTGTTCAGTAATATGGCAAGTGGCTTGCAGAAGTTAGCACATGGAGAAACAAAAATAAACCTACCAGGAACTGTAGCTCCTTTTAAATACCCAACAACATTGGATATTGTTTTATATGTTGGCTGAGTTTGAATATTCAAAGTCACAATTTTCCTTTCTGCTAAGAGAAAAACAAAACATTTTATTTTGGACTCATCTGCAAAGTCTTTAAGAAACCATATACAACTTTGTCTACCCAAAGTTACCTCCTGAATTTCCAAAACTGACAAGGATGTTGTCCATTTTGTTACTATTTTATTTTATTTAGTCACCTGGAGTTATAATAAAATACATCTTTATTAACAAACATCTAAGGAAATATAGAATGGGAGAGTATTCTTTTATTTAATGATTTTTCTGATTTTCTGATTTACCACATAAAAAAGTGATTTATTTTTATTTTATTTATTTATTTTAGAAAATTTATATAGCTGCCTACTCACTCACAGAGACTCTATGACGATTACTTGAAAGTTATTGAAACTATACAATATTCTGAAAATGGAAACAGTATGAAAGAACATGAAACAGATAAAATGCACATATTACAGTAAAACCTTGTTAACAGAAGGAATATAGATCATTTCATAAGTGACTTTTTTCATTAAATAGACTTGTAAGTGTAAACAGTTTTAAGTTACTGAATGGAACTGGCATAAATTCTTTCAGTAGCACCTTATCCGTAAAAACATATTACTAATCAAACTGAAGCAATTTCTCTTTATTACATTGTTCGAGAGACTCAAAATATGTCCTTTTATCCAGGCCATTTAATATTTTGATCATTTGATCTAATGACTCATGATGTCTTGTTTTAATGATATTTTTATGACTATGATCACTTTATTACATTTTTATAAGCTTCCTAGAATTATCAGGGTTTGGGGCATCATACACATTTTAAATAAACAAACCAATCTACAAATGAATAAATGTGAATAGGAGAGACCTAACCAAACATCATTCCACTGAAGATAATATTGAATAATTTCTTGTGGTGGCATATCTAAATAAGAATTCAAAACTTATTTATAAGAAATACAACACTATCCATAAGAATCAAAATGTAAGTTTCAAGCTATTTCAAGCCATTTGTACTTTGAACATCAATGGAGGCTCTTTAAATTTTCAAATAGGATTGGATAATCTGAATAGTGGTTGCATTTTGAAGTTTTTTGGGTTTTTTTTTTTTTTTCAATTACTTTACCCTGCAAGAACCACAAGGTGATTTCATCATAATGGCTAGGACTAAACTGTTGTCCACTTTTAGAAGTTAGTGGAGCTTAAAATAGGTTAATTGAATTCACCATTAATGCCCTGATTTTGTATTAAATTGATCAAAACATGCAAAGGAAGCAAAATGTTAAAATATTGTAGTTTTACTCCTAAATACTTGCAGCAAATCTTGAGGTGTTCCAGCAGAAAAACATGGATCTGGCAAGCTAAATTTGTTTGTGTGTGTCTGTGTGAGTGTGAGTGTATGTATACACATACTTAGATTAGATTAGATTAGATTAGATTAGATTAGATTAGAATTCTTTATTGGCCAAGTGTGATTGGACATACAAGAAATTTGTCTTTGGTGCATATGCTCTCAGTGTACATAAAAAGAAAAGATAAATTTGTCAAGAATCATAAGGTACAACACTTAATGATAATCATAGGGTACAAATAAGCAATCAAATCATACTAGGAGATGATCAATATAAATCGTAAGAATGCAAGCAACAAAGTTACAGTCATACAGTCATAAGTGGAAGGAGATGGGTGATAGGAACGATGAGAAGATTAATAGCAATGCAATTTAGTGAATAGTTTGACAGTGTTGAGGGAATTATTCGTTTAGCAAAGTGATGGCCACACACACACACACACACACACACACACACTTTGTATGTTTTATTATAAACAATCCAGCTATAGGGCATCCAGCTATTCAGCCATTGGGCAATTTTAAACTTTTAATACACTTTTAAAAATATGTTGCCAAGGGTGTTCCAGAAACCCATTATCATGAAATATAGACCAGCCAAGTGCCACGTGATGGGGTGATCTCCCGTCATTTGTCCCACCTCCTGCTCACTTAGCAGTTCAAAAGCATTGCAAACATGACTAAATAGGTACCACTTCAGTGGGAAAGTACTAAGAATTCTGTGCATCTCAGCATATGGTCACTCTGGCCACATAAACACAGAAATGTCTTTGGGCAATGTTGGCTCCCTAGACTAAGAAATGAAGATAAAGCACTGCTCCTAAGAGTCTGACAAACTGGACAGGAGAAACCTTTATCTTTATATTCTGGATTAGCAAAAAAGCCAGGCTAAAATCTTTTCCCCATTCATATTTTCTTGATCTGCTAGGGTTGCTTTGATTCTCGAACGTTACCATTCTTAACAGAAGCATCACTGCTTGAACTTAAACTAGTGTTTCTAGTAATACTTTGACTTCAGTTTCATTACTAGAATCACTAGAATTCATTACTAGATAAAAGGGATCTGGAATAAGAATTTTGAGTTGATGGTAGAAGTAGCTGCATTGTACATCAATTATCCTCTGGTTCATTTCTCCTTTCCTCTTCCAACTGGAGGTCAGCATTCCAGGTCTATTTATTACCCACATTTTAGCTCATTTCAGATGTCTTTCTTCCCATTAATACATTCTTCCCAGGGCTCTTTTTGAACTTCTCTATAACTTTGGTACCACTTCATCTCCCTAATCAATGTCACTTACAGCCTGAACATCAGAAATAATGATAATCACATCATTAAGCCAAAAGGATACTCTGCAAGAACATCATTTCATCTTTAGTCTAAGGGACAATTATCTCTCTCATTGTTCCTTCCTCCCCAGTTGTTTTATTTCTCGGTATCATCCAACAAACATGCAGGAATTGTTAATTGGGGAATGCATTATAAAAAAAAAAAATAACCTGTCTCTTTGTCAAAAAAAAAAAAATCAAGTTCATGTTCCTAGCATCTGATAATGATTTGTTTTAAATACTAATTAAACCTTCCTTCTATCCTTCTATTCTATCTTCCCTCCCTCCCTCCCTCCTTTCCTTCCTTTGTCCCTTCCTCCTTCTTAGGCTAAGAAAAACAAATAGCCTTATTAGAATTTGAGAGGGGAGCAATGACAAATAAGAGTTTGTTGTCGTTTTTTTCTCAGCAAAATATTACCAATAATACAACTTGATGCAAATCATGGGATCATCAGAAGAATGTCAATAACCTCAGCAGATATTTTATGTATTCAGCGCCAGTTTGGACTGGACTTAATCAATTTTAAGTTCAAGATTATGCATCCCCAGATATGGGTTTATAGAAGAGAAATCTTTGGCTTTTGTATCTTTGATGGTAGCTTTGCTTTTTTAACCTATATTGAATGTTTTTCTACATTTCTACATCACTGACTTCTGGTGGCAGGAAAATCAGTGATGTCACAGAAGGGCCATGAAAAAAATACAGAATATATTTCAATGCAGTACAATAAACTATGGAATCATCATGTCAACAGTGTGCCTTCAGTAATGACTAGCCCTAATCCCTCCTTAGATGGGCAATGATGGAAGAAACTGCTCCTCACCAGCAACCAGATCTGGTAATAAAACACAAAGGCATATTGTACAGTGACATGACTTCATTTAAAAGCTTAGTATGCCTAACAAAGACTCAAATATCTCTCAGTGGAGTATGGAGAAAAAAATAAAGTTTAATTTTCTTTAAATTGTTCTGACAGCCAATCTCATGTTCCAAACATTAGACATCTGATGAAAGTCTTGATAACTTTAGTTCTTTATGTTTGAGGAACTGATGGGGAAACTTCAAGTTAATGCAACTTGAAATATTCTCTTTATCTAAGCCACCAAGCTACTTCACCATAAAAGGACAAAAATGAATCATTGTTGGGGATTAATAGTTATAGTTTAGCTGTTTTGGGGAGCCTTTAATTCCAAAACCACAACATACCATACAACCATACGATATGTGTAATCTGTGTTCCCTTGCAACTGTTGGAAGTCAACTCAAGGCTGTGCATGGATATGAAGATAGGTGAACAGCTTAAACTACACAAAGACAATATAATTTAAACATTTTCAATTATTTCTTTCATTGGTGTATGAAAAAGAGAAGTAAACATACACACAAAACCCACATAATTATATAGAAAACTTCTGTGGGGGTATGGCAGTGGCATCATAACCAATTCAGCTATCAAGGCAGTTGCCTCTGGTATTGCTTCACACAGTTCTTCTAAGGAACCAGTGAATACATGGTGTGGGTAATGTTGCACAATATGTTTAATAATTTAATAAAATTTTCCAGGATAACAGCTGAATATACTGATTATTAAGAAGCTTAATATATGGATACAATGTGAAAATATTGTATATACACATACTCATGTCTGTCTCTGGCTTTAATATTAAATCTATTTTTTTTTTTAAAAAAGTTGTACTATATATTTGAAATAGCACTAGCAACAGCACTTAGACTTATATACCACTTTATAGTTCTTTTTACAGCATTCTCTAAGCGGTTTACAGAGTCAGCATACTGTCCCCAACAATCTGAGTCCTCATTTTATTGACCTCAGAAAGATGTAAGGCTGAGTCAACCTTGAACCTGTCAGGATCAAACTCATGGCAGTGGGCACAGTCAGCTGCAATACTACATTCTAACCCCTGAACCACCACAGCTCCTCTGGATACCCCCCTAGAACATCTTGCCACTAGAGGGAAGACTTTCCTCCATCCTTCTGACCTTCTGGAAGGGCTGCTAATTGTTTGTGGTCCCAATGAGGACATGCTATACTGGAGGTCATTGGTAGGAGATAAAAGCCCAATCCTATATCGTTTATGCCTTTGGTTTTTAATCTTTATTTAATCATTGCTAATTTTAAGGCTTTTATATTTAAGTTTTTATGACACTGTAAGCTGCCCAGAAAAGAGACGCAATGTCTCAGTGGCTAAGACGCTGAGCTTGTCGATTGAACATTTGGCAGTTCAGCAGTTCAAATCCCTAGTGTCACGTAACGGGGTGAGCTCCCGTTACTTGTCCCAGCTTCTGCCAACCTAGCAGTTCGAAAGCATGTAAAAAATGCAAGTAGAAAAATAGGGACCTT